TGACCTGGTTCAGCTAGGCGAAGAGTGTGAGTTTGACTTGGATCAGCTCTGTCCCTGAGTGTGAATGTGACCTGGCCAGATCTGCCCCTGAATATGAGTATGACCAGCCTAGTTCTGTTCATTGTGTGAGTGTTACCTGGGTTCTGCCTATGACTTTATGTGTGTGACCTTGATCAGATCTGTGTCTGACTGCCTGCAATGTATTGCATATACCATAAACACTGTATGAGCTATACACCCCACATAAATGTGGGGCTTATGTTACAATACGTTAACCAGTACTAATTGTGTGAATTAACAGTCACAGATACATCTCAGATCTACTCATGCTCAAATTCAAATAATCTTTTCACCTGCTTCAGAGCCAGCTACATCCTGTCACTAAACCACAACATCCTGACATACAGAAACACACAGATACTATGATACACAGCTCTTGCACAAACACATACAATGAAAAACAGACTTACACAGAGACACACAGAGATACAGCTCTCACACAGACACCACGACACACAGAGATACAGCCCACACAAACAGGTACTGTGACATACAGTGACACGCAGATACCATGACACACAGAGACACAGCCCTCGCACAGACACATACAGTCACCTTGATACACAGAGACACAGCCCGCACAAGACACAAACAGGCACCATGACATACAGAGACACGTAGACACCATGATACACAGAGAAACACAGACGTACAGCTCTCACACAGACAACATGACACACAGACACACAGTCCACAGAAAGACACATACAGGCACCATGACATACAGTGACACGCAGATACCATGACACACAGAGACACAGCCCTCACACAGACACATACAGTCACCTTGACACACAGAGACATAGCCCGCACAAAGACACAAACAGGCACCATGACATACAGAGACACGGAGATACCATGACACACCAAGACGCAGCCCTCACACAGACACACACAGTCACCATGACACACAGAGACACAGCTCTCACACAGACACATACAGTCACCATGACACACAGAGACACATGTGTGTCATGGTACCTGCCTGTATCTGTATGTCATGGTGCCTGTTCGTGTCTTTTTGCGGGCTGCATGTGTCCCGGAGACATACAGACACCATAACACACAAAGACACATACCCCACACAGACACATACAGATACAATTAAATACACATTTACACAGATACCAGTACACACAGAGTAGAGACACAACCCTCACAGAAACACAACCCTCACACAGACAGATAATACGACACACACATACACAGCCCTCAGACACGCACAAACAACATGACATACAAAGACACGGCTCCTTACACAGATAACATGATGTACATAAACAAATCTATCTCATGCAGACACATACAGATACATTGACACACAAATACACAGCCCTTACAGAAATACTCAGAAACACAGAGAAACACAGCTGTACACATTTAGCAACAGACATTAATGCACACTGGTTGAAGCAATGAGTGTCCACTCACCTTAGAGAGTGGCAGCACCATGAAAGCACCTCCACCACTGGCCTCGACTACAATTGCCAAAAATTTGGGGTTTACAGCACAAAAGTTAGAGTCCCATGTGTTCTGGGAGACACGAATGTCATCATAGCACTGGTCTGCCTTCACAGGTTGGCCAAAAACATGACGAAACTTACTGCTGCGTACCACCTTTCGACTCATGGCGAGGGCTACAGGAAGCAAACACATAGACAGGAATTAATTAGAGGCAAGAAGAGGACATGTAAAAGCTGGATAAAGAGAATCAAAGGTGACATTACGTAAATTATGTGTATAATGTAGCAAAGAATGTAGAAAGTGGGTCAGAAAGTAAGGGGCAGAAATAGGCAGGAAGTGCCAAACAGTAAAATGATGCAATTGAGGAAGAAGGGGTGCAGGGCAGGTAAAGACACGAACAGGGGAGGAAGTAATAGAAGAAGGGGTGCAGGGCTGGAAACGTACAGGGGAGGAAGTAATAGAAGAAGGGGTGCAGGCCTAGAAAGGTACAGGGGAGGAAGTGATGGAAGAAGGGGTGCAGGCCTAGAAAGGTACAGGGGAGGAATTGATGGAAGAAGGGGTACAGGGCAGTAAAGGTGCAGGGGAGGAAGTGATGGAAGAAGGGGTGCAGGGCCGTAAAGGTACAGGGGAGGAAGTAATGCAATAAGGGGTGCAGGCCTGGAAAGGTACAGGGCAGGAAACGTTGGAAGAAGGGGTGCAGGGTTGGAAAGGTACGGGGGAGGAAGGGATGGAAGAAGGGGTGCAGGCCTGGAAAGGTACAGGGCAGGAAACGTTGGAAGAAGGGGTGTAGGGTTTGAAAGGTACGGGGGAGGAAGTGATGGAAGAAGGGGTACAGGGTTGGAAAGGTACAGGGGAGGAAGTGATGGAAGAAGGGGTACAGGGCAGTAAAGGTACAGGGGAGGAAGTGATGGAAGAAGGGGTACAAGGCAGTAAAGGTACAGGGGAGGAAGTGATGGAAGAAGGGTTGCAGGGTTGGAAAGGTACAGGGCAGGAAACGTTGGAAGAAGGGGTGCAGGGTTGGAAAGGTACGGGGGAGGAAGTGATGGAAGAAGGGGTGCAGAGGCCGGAAAGGTAATAGGGCAGGAACTTTTGAAAGAAGGGGTGCAGGGTTGGATAGGTACGGGGGAGGAAGTGATGGAAGAAGGGGGTACGGGTTGGAAAGGTACAGGGGGAGGAAGTGATGGAGAAGGGGTGCAGGGCCGTAAAAGGACAGGGGAGGAAGTAATGCAATAAGGGGTGCAGGCCTGGAAAGGTACAGTGCAGGAAACGTTGGAAGAAGGGGTGCAGGATTGGAAAGGTACGGGGGAGGAAGTGATGGAAGAAGGGGTGCAGGCCTGGAAAGGTACAGGGCAGGAAAACGTTGGAAGAAGGGGTACAGGGTTGGAAGGTACAAGGGAGGAAGTGATGGAAGAAGGGGTACAGGGCAGTAAAGGTACAGGGGAGGAAGTGATGGAAAAAGGGGTACAGGGCAGTAAAGGTACAAGGGGAGGAAGTGATGAAGAAGAGTTTGCAGGGCAGGAAAGTACAGGGGAGGAAGTGATGGAAGAAGGGGTGCAGGGCCAAAAATGTACAGGGGAGGAAGTGATGGAAGAAGGGGTGCAGTGCTGGAAAGGTACAGGGGAGGAAGTGATGGAAGAAGGGGTGCAGAGCCGCAAAGGTAGAGGGAAGAAAGTGATGGAAGAAGGGGTGAAGGGCCTTAACAGTGCAGGAGAGGAAGTGATGGAAGAAGAGGTGCAGGGTTGAAAAGGTACAGAGGAGGAAGTGATGGAAGAGTGAATGAGTTAAAGAAGGGCTAAGTGAGTAAAAGAAGGTCTCAGTGAGTGAAGGCAAGAGTTACACAATAATAGACAAGAATAGGTCATGGGGGGCAACAGGAATAAAAAGTAAGATGGGTGCAGTGGCGGAATAAAGCCCGGTGCAGAACAGAGAATGGGGAAGTGAGAGTGAAGAGAGATGGAGGAAGGGAACAGTAATGGGGTCAGTAGCTACAGCATAAATAATGTCGAGATATTACAGTAATAGGATGGGGGACAACGGAAACAGAGAGAGACTGAGTGCAAAGCAGCGCGTGAGAGAATGAGCGCAAAGCAGTGAGTGAGAGAATGAGTGCAAATGTGTGAGTGAGAGAATGAGCGCAAATGTGTGAGTGAGAGAATGAGCGCAAAGCAGTGAAAGAGAGACTGAGCACAAATCAGTGAG